GTTCTTTTTAGGTAAGTATTATTTATTTAAGACTACTGAGTTAGTAGTTAGTAGTTAGTCTGGCTGGTAGGAAGAGATCAGTAATGCACTAAATGACTAAAGAACCTGTTATTCCATTTAGGCATACTGATTCCTAGAGCATTATAATTTTAGGACGTTTACAAACTCAGCAATTGGACTGATCTTTCCCACAAGAACTTCCAACTAAGTGATAAATAAATTATTGGCTCTCTACAATCTCTTCTACCACATTTAAGCTCTTCAAAAGAGAGTAATTTTCTATCGTCCCTCTTAACTTCCCACTGAAGGAAATTTTCTCTAACAATTTAAAGGGAGAATAAAAAACAATGAACAGCTTCTGAGAATTTCTTCCCCTGACTTTATTTGGCATTACTGGGAACACTGCCAGATGAAAGAGTTTTTCATGCTGCTGGACGTTTATTTATCATTTAGCATCTTTGCTATATTTGGATGATGACCTACTGTATGAGAGTATATACTTAAACAAAAAGTAGAAAAGTCAGCAAGTGAGCTACCAAATGACGTCAGAGAATATGAATAAAGTCAAATAAGTCAACTAGAGTGAAATTCTTGCTGTCTAAACAGTCATATGCAAATATGTGTCAGAATTTATTTGAAGCAAGACAGGTATTTTTCTGCATGACTTGTATTTAATATGACAGGTCTACCTTCATAAATTCTGTGATAAAGCATCTATCGTATAATTTTGGATGATGAAGGCAAATTTGAGAAAATCTCTTCTTTATTAACTACGTAACAGAAAGTCAGGATAAGCTTAACGCTATCCTAGAAATGATTAAGGCTGACTTGGATAAAACTGTATTGTCATTTGAAGCTATAGTTATTTTGTTCATTTGTGATTTCTCAAAGGCTAAATAAATGGCCACTATATATTAATGTTTTACTTTATAATTAAAGTAAAATGTGTTAACATTTACCTTGCAGGTCAGTACACTCATTTCTGGGACAGTTCTCTGCTTTCTTCCAAGCATTTCACGATGATTAGTATCAAGTCAGTCTCCCTTTTTAGATATCTAAAACATTTATTCCATGTACTTCATACCATTGAAGATTTTCTACTATTATAGTCTCCTGTTATGATTTGTGTCTGGGACCAGTAGTTAGTGTAATGGCTATGTCACTGGACTCCCATGTATTTGACCATAGTTTCAGTCTTGGACCTGGTGCCTTAAACTCACACTGGGCACATGTGCGTGCATGCCCAAGATCCTGAGAGGAGAAAGGATTGCGTCATGGCCATCCCCCCTGGGGGAGTGATTTTTTGCTTTCTATCTCTCTGTCTCTGTCTGTCTTTCTGGTGAGCACACGTGCCCTGTAGCAAAAACCTTTCAAAAGAAAAAAATGATTCTGTCTCTATCAAGAAAGTTGAAAACATGAAGCTCACAATATTTTCTTTTCTTTTTTTTAATATCTGTTCCTATTTTTCACTCTTGTTCCGGTAGAGATGTCTCTAATTTCTCTCTGAAGCTTTTTCCTCTGTGCTTTCTGGTGAACTATTCCATAGTACATTGGAGAATGCTAATAAAGTGTAAATGGTGGAGATGGGGTGAGGGGTGGAAAGTTGATTGCCTATAATGAAAACCCATCAACAGGTACCAAATAGACTACTTTGGAAGGAATTGCATTCTCTTTCCTGAACTGCAGTATCTTCTCAGTCCTTACTGAAAATTGATATTGAAAAATTCCAGTGATTTCTTTTCCATACTTATCCTTTCTGCTTGCCAGTAATTACTTAGACACACAACTCACCATAAAAAGAATTTCATTTATTCATATGCCATCTTTTTCTATAATCTTACCTTTCTTTTAAAACAGTTCTACCAAGAGATCTTTCCACCACCTTAGACTATTCTCGTCTTAATTCCTGTATTCAACTTTGTAGGCCTTCTTTTTCTTCAAACGTGCCTACTTATTTATTCCACAAGAGATAAGGAGAGACAGAGAGAGAGAGAGAGACAGAGAGAGAGGCACCCCCAGGAGGCTCTTCACACTGGGATCCATCCCAGTCTCAGTTGACTGGATAATGAGCACACAGGGGCCTGGTAACCTCAGGGGAGGTCCCAAGATGTGAACCCAGGACTCTTCCTATGTTGGTCCAGTTGTGTTACTACCACCTCACTGCCTGGTGCCAACACCACTTCTCCCTTGTCAAGATTGCATTCTCAAAGTTCACTAATGTCCTAATCACTAAATCCTTTAAAGCTATTTTCTGTTTTTTAGTTTCCTGAATCTTTGGGGTCTCAGTCCTCTCTTTGGTGTAACTTGATAATACAGTACTTTCGACTCCAGATCATTTCTCCTCCACTGGTCTCTACTGATTCCATGTGAACACATCAAGTTCCTCCCAGTCCTTAAAGTGATATTCTCCAGGAATAAGCCTTCTTCTGTTTTCTTTATGAGATTCTTCTGGGAGTCTATCTACTGATATAGTTTAATTATCTCATGTATGATTAGGACTCCTATATTATTGATCTCTTCTACTCTAATCCAGCTATAGAGTGCCAGAATGGCCACTTCAGTATCTGTCTGAAACTCCCTTTTGGAAAGGTCATCTTCAAAAGTCATTGTATTTCTGCTAAGTTGGTCTGGAAGAATGGCACTGATGATTTGAGCACTCCGTTTCAAACTTTTAACTCTTCTTACTTCCTACTCCTACCTAATCAATACTGTATGGTGGGCTCTAGATCATTCCTTCACAGTAGTTTCTGCAACAGTCCCCGTCCAATTAAGTATTTATAAAGAAGTTACGAAGAAATTTATAAAGAAAATTCACATATTTCCAAATATGTCCCTCCCATACTCTTTCCAATTCGGACTTTTTACTCAAGCTTGTGTATCCTCCTTTCCCTTTCTCTTCCTTTGCTCTTTTTAAAGCTTACCCATCTATAAAGTTTCACCTCAGATATCATCACTTCTAAGAACTATTTTCTACTTCTATTACAGGGAAAGAACCTGTGTCAGCTAAATCCCATCCAATGAGATCCCATAACATCATCATCCCCTTTCCCAAGTACCTGGGCACCTACCTGAGTGCCTGGTGTGTTTTAAGGCCTGGGCATCCAAACCTATACAGCTTCCAGCACTGCCTTTCAATTTGCTATTGACTCTACCACCAGGGTTGGCTCTGTTTTTACTGTTGTTATTGTTCGTTTTCAATGATTACGTTTAAAATGAACAAAAAGCATATTGCACTTTCATGAGATTTTCTTTTCAGTTTTTATTGATAGAATAGCATATGCAAACCTGAAGATAAGTTAACTACCTTACTTTCAAGGGACAGATCCCCAACAAGTTGCTTGGCATGTTTAGAATATCAAAATGGTTTTGGTGGCAGCAATCAGAATCCATGGATTATCTGCCTTCTGTTAATCTTCTCATTTGTATTCATTTGGAGCTATGAAAAATGTTCTCAACATTCATTACTGTACTCATCTCTTCATTCCTGCCCTTGAAGTAAATTCTTCCTTTCCTTTTTCTTTCTTTCTTTTGCTTTTGTTTTTTTTACACCTAGTACTGAAAAGGTTCCCTCCATACTACCAATGTTCATGGTTTTGTCTTTATTTATTTAGTTAGTTTTTGTGATAGGGCACATGCATTCACTGGAGACAGAGAGAGGTTAAAGTGAGAAATCACCCTCCAGGGAGGATGCCCACACCATGATCCCTTCTCCTCCATTCTCTTCTTGGAATTTTTGGGCATACACATGCACCAGGCTTGCAGGGTCTAGACCCGAACTGTGGCCATGTGGGATCCAGCTGCCTTCAACACCACATCACCTGACTAGATCCTTTGCAGTAGATTCTGGTTTAACATATTATAGGTGTGTGCAGAGGGAGAGTGGTCAGAAGAAATGAGGAAGAAAGGTGAGAACGAGGGAAAGAAAGTAAGGCATAATTGGTTTGTGTTATTTACTAATCAAATGAAAATGGACAGAAATAAAATCACGGCTATTGAAATGTCAACAAAAACAAGTGATTGACTTGGTTTTATTTTTCCAGTGACCTAAATTAAATAGTTATCTATATAAACTTAATGACAACACAGACACACATCAGCTCTGTAAAACATGAGAAAAGCTTACACTTCACAATTAATTTCATATATATGACACTGCACATTTAACTTTTTTTAAAATCATATTTTTAGTGACATTTACAAAATCTGAGTAGCAGAATAAAAAATTCTACCCACTTAATTATTATTTTGCATGTTTACAACCAGGTAAACATGGGCTGCTAGGAGATAATTTATTTTTATATTTCTTTACAAAATACCCCAGGAGGAGAGATAATTTTCTTAGGGTAAAACCAGCCTTTATTCTGTCAGGCAAAGAAATTATGGAAGCAAAACAAATCCACATTGTCTAATTAGGTCATTAAAAAGCATAAATGCGTCATGGAAGCTTTTCTCCTTGCCTAAGACATAAAGTAAGACAATGAAAACAGTCTGGTAATATAGAAAGGTTTAGAATTTGTTTCTTTTCAAAAATAATAGGTCCTTTCATCTTTCTATTTCCCTTAGACGAAGACAGTTAATTTAGAGACAAAATCTTCTAATTAGTTCAGAGTTTAGCCTGATTATATTTCAAAATATTTAACCAAAAACAGGAAGATAGAGAAAAGGAGAAAATACACGAAGAAATTATCAAAGGAAATGAATAAAATCAAGAGTGTAGGTTGCTGATCAAAATGTATTCTACAGAGACAAGATGAATACAAAATCTATATTCATGTAAACACAACCAATCTGGGATACCAGAAAGTTCTTAGGAGGAATACATTGGCATCTGCCTTTGGGGTTTGAAAACTAGACTTTAATTACAGCTAACTTAAATAAAAACAAATGGCATGATTATTTTTCCTCTTCTTCTTTCTACTTATTACTTCCTGAGTTTTAGAAAACTCGTGGCTCAATGTGTTAAGAAACAAAATGTAGAAAAGAAAGGAAAAGTAACTTACCTGGGATCCTCTTGGCCCTCGTTTGTGATCCCATTCTGAATGTCCCATGAGCTGTAAAGATAATATAGGAATTACCATAAATTAAATTATTCTTTTACATGATAAATATTTTTGCTATTTCGTTTCAAAATAAATAGGCTGGTGAAATCTTTGTTTAACAGGAATGTCTTAAATAGCCAGCATAAATAAATTAACATACCTAAAATAATAAACTGGTTTGACAGTTACTATTTCGACTTCTAGGTGTTTTGAGGATATATTATTATCACTGTGTGAAAAAATAGGGTAATATATAATTTCACTATTCTTTGTCAAGAACATCTAGATAGATGTTAGCCAAGTAAAGTTCTATTTGCTATTTGTCCCTAATCTTCAGTTTATTAGGAAAATACGCTGAGTGATTCAGTAATATTCTACTGTCATTAATGATAAAAAACAGAAAACCTCTAAATATATAAAATACACAGACATACACACACACACACACACACACACACACACGTGTGTGTATACAATTTTGTTTGCTTTTGCTTTTCTTTCTAGAAGGCATATATGTACTTGCCAGAGAGAGACAGAGAGAGAGAGGGAGGGGAGAAAGCACACTCCAAGGGAAATGGTCATACCACAACCCCTTCTCCTCTAGGGAGGGGAGAAAGCACCCTCCAAGGGAAATGGCCATACCACAACCCCTTCTCCTCCATTTCTTTCTCTTCTCAGGACTCTGGGAATACGTACACGCATGACAGTATGTTTCCTGAGTCATCAGTCTGGGACTCAAACCACATGATCAGCTTTGTAGGATCTAGCCGCATCAACCACCAGGCCATAGACCAGGTTCAGTCAGTACATTTTAATAATTTTAAATTATGTTTTGATAGTGTTGTAAGAACATGAGAAGGGTAAATTATTTCATGTAAAATGTCCATAAAGTCCCAAATATAGATTAAAAAAAAAGAACACAGACTATAAAACATTATCGAGTTATTTCTATAGTTGAAATAGCTCTGAGCTACTTCACTTATGAAGCAGAATATTTATTTACCGGAAATAACATTGAACAGGAAGAATATTTGGGTATCAAATCACAGAAATGAAACTGTTCATCTGTCCAATACAATTACTATTCATGAGTACCACCTGAAGAACTACTTACAACTAATACACTAGCTCACTAAGATAGCCCATGAAAGTATTTCTATACCTTGCTCATTTTCTATACAAAAGCAATGGCTTCTTAGCAGATTAAATAACAAACAACTGCGATGTTTCCAGTAGTAAAAATGAAAAATGAAACACCCTGAACATTGTTTATGCAATGTTTGATAATCATAAACAGAAAGTGGTAAAACTTGACTGCTTGATAACACAATGCAATTGGTTAAAAAGAATGAATTCTGTGAAATTACTAAGTGTTCAGTTCTACACAAATAACCTTACTCAATTTAAATCAGAAGCTAATGGGATTTTTTTTTATTTTAAAAAGAAAAGGCTATACATTTTACATATAAGAATTAATGTTATGTTAGAAACAGAAATCTAGTGACCTCACTTATGAGCATGAGGAATACAGTTACCATGTTCTATTGTATACCAGAAACTTCCTAAGACCGGAGATTTTTTAGACATTCTTACTATAAAAAAAAACTGTAAGATGATGACTATGTTAATTGACCTGAATGTAGTAATTACTTCACTGTGTATATCGAAACACCATGTGTGTACCTTAAATATATACCAATACAAGAAAAATATCAGCAAAAGTTATGAGGATCTGATCTTGGAAGTGAAGCAAGGTTGGGCCTGATTAGTACTTGGATGGGAGAAAATGTCACAATATATTATAAATAGTTATTATAATATATTATAAAACTTAAATTATTACATAATTGTTTCATAATCAAATTATAAATTAAAAGTGAATGACATATAGTGGACAGCTAGAAATAAATACAAGTATAAGAAGCAACAAAATATGAAAAAGAAAATTTCAAACATTAATGACTATTCTATAAATTATTCCATAAATTGAAAACAAAAATTGACATTTTGAGGAAAAAAACTAGAGCTTTACCTTAAACATTAATTTTAGATTTCAAATAATTTATTTTATTTTAAATTGCCAGAAGGTATAGGCACTCACCAGAGAGAAAGGAGAGAGAAAAGCACTCACTTTCTGCCTCAAGTGAGGAGCAATCATGCTATTTCTCCTTCTTCTCAGGATTTAGGGCACTGCCATGGGGGTGAGGATATGAACCATGGTCTGCCATGTGGGATCTGGCTCCCAGTACACAGTGCTTAATCTATGGTGCTGGCCCAAAGACTTGAAAACTAAAAACATAAAACTGGAATGAAGCCCAGGTAAACATTTAACATATTTTAGAAATAAAAAAAAATTTAATAAAATCTAGACCTTTTTTATAAAAGATCTTTTAAAAATCACAAAAGAAGATCAAGTGATCTATGTAAAAATTGAAAATATCTGTACAAATGTCCAGTTGGTAAAATAGCTGCAGTAAATGATAGGCACAGGATGTTATCAGTACATTGAGAGCTCTGACAAATTTGAAAATGAATAAAGCCAACCATAGTAGAAAATTAATGGAAGAATAAGAACAACTTTTAGAATAAGAATGATTTTCAGATGAATATCAAAAGTCAACATATTCATAGAAAAATTTAACTTTACTGGAAGTGAAAAAAATTCAGTATAAATAATAACAAGATACTACATTGTTGCTTATTAGCAAATTAATAATGTGAATATTTGGTAGAATAAGTAAGAAAAGTAAGCAGATATATATATATATTGCTAGGAGTATATAGCAAATATATATACACACATACATATATATATTTACATATATATAGATATAATATAATATACATATAAATATAATTTACATATAAATTAATATGTGTGATAGCCTTAAAAATTTACATACCCTTTGAATCAGTAAATCACAATTTAAAAATGCAATAATTAAAATGTGTTAATCACTTTATTGTCCAACAAAAAGACAACTATCTATTAAATTACAGTATGGAAAACAATAAAACAATTAAGTTTGGCTTCCAATGTCCTTATAGGAAATTCATGAGAAATGTTGAAAGTATAAGTTAAAAACCTTAAGAAAGTAATTTTAAGCTACTCGTTTTTAACAAGACATAGTAAATCACTGTAAGGTTTGAAATTATTGCAATGACTTAATTATAGTTTGGCTAGCATACAATTTGGGGTAAATTAGCCCAGATAATCATTATGTAAACTGCATGCTTACATAATTGATATTTCTTTAATGTTTCAATATTTTTTAATTTCTAGATGTATTGGCATTATATCTGCTAGTAAATATTCATAAATACTAATTTAAGTTGATTATAATAAAGCTTACAAACGCTCATCAACTAATGAAACAAATAGTATAATTTGGAAACACATATATTAAGAACACCTAATTACTTGTTCACTAGAACTATCAAGAAAAATTCCTGATACATTTCAATCATCTTCCTTCTTGAGGCCTTGAGAATGAATACATTAATAACAGGAAGACCGAATGTTCTTCTCAGCAACTTTAAAGAGATAATAAACTTAAGGAATAGGCTGCTAGTGAAATGATTTATTAAAATCCTCTGAAGAGAATACTTGTAAGAGGTGGTCTGTTATGACTATCATCTTCCCTGTGATGAGTTTAACAGGATCCGGATAACTGATAAATTCTACTATGCATACGTATCACAATAAAAAGATAAATAAATCTCACTAGCACAAATTACAGATATAATCCACCCTATATTGATAAAAGAGAATATTTGACAATGACAGTAAGTCAAAAAGGTAATATTTTTCTGGGACCAGCACTGTAATACAAAAAGCATGGAACTCCCTGCCCTCTGCCCTTAACTACCTTGGAGATGGTAGATTTTTAGTCAAAAAACACATTCAAGATGTAGAATCATCTGGATCATCACTTACTACAGAAGAGATTAATTTAATAATCTAGAAATCAGAGTTTATAAACTAAACCCCCAAAGATTCAGCCTTTTTCTTTTAAAGCAGAAAATAGTAAACTTTGGCAAAGGTGCTATATATATCAGAGAGTTATTTCCTAATGAAAGAGATTTGGAGTAAAAAAAAAAATCTATGCAATTCTATTCTTATATATTTATACTATATATTATCATATTCAAAAGACATGAGTTGACCAAGGATATAGTACTATTTTAAAATATATGCCATTACTATTTTTTTTCCAAAAAAAAAACAGCTGTAGAAATCTACATGCTATATGAAATACAACAAAACAGGAATTAATTCTGCATGTGCTCAGTGAAGTACTAGAATATTCTCTAGTCAATAAGAGTGTCAAAGGAAATTAACAAGATATTATCCCCCTTAAGACTTGAGGAAATCAAACACTTGGCCGTTAAAATTGTATTTTTAATTAAAATAATATGAGTCAAAATATAGCATTTGCTATGTCATTATTGAATGCATGGAGTTTATTACAGTGTTCTATAAAGAGGTGGTGGTTGTGAGGGCAGGTTACAGCATCAAGGCTACACTCCCTTCCATTATTGTAGGATACAGGGATCCAGATGGGGGCTTGGGTGGGGAGCAAAGGAGGGAATAAGAAGACAATTCATTTTCTGTCTCTCTGTCTCTCTGGTAAGCATATGCGCTCTGTAGTAATAAATAAATAAATAAATAAATAAATAAATAAATAAATAAATAATAAATAAATACCTCTCTCTAAAAAAAAAGAATACAATTCACATTAGCACGAGAGCATATTTTTTCATTATAGTTGCACAAAATATTTTACTTTATTGTCATAAGAACACTGTCCTCAGATCATGGGACAAAAACTAAAGTAAGCAAAATATGAGTATGCTTCAAAAAAAAAAATCCACAGTCTGATGAATTGACTTTATCACTTAATATTACAGACTATTTCTTCTGAAATAAAGCATGTGGCCACTGGTAAATATTCCTGTGAAAGCACAATCACAAGGCCAATTGTTTCAGGAACTACATACTCATGTCCCTG